AGCCTATAGTACTGTGAGCCGAATAAACCTCTTTTCTTTATAAATTACCCATTCTCAGGAATTCCTTTATTGCAATGAAAAACGGAGTAACACAGCTTGCAAAGAGAAGAAAGACAAAGATTTTGTTGGGGACAATCTATAAACCAGTTTCCTTAGAGTCTGAAACACAGTCAATTGAGGTGTCCAGATGTTAGATTCAAAGCATTGTTTGTTAAAGTGGAAGAAGGCAGTGGAAATCTGCCAAGTTTTTCTTTTCTGTATTACAAGATATGTGTTGCGGGAAGTCAGGGACCCTGAATGGAGGGACCAGCTTAAGCCATGGCAGAAGAACATAAATTGTGAAGATTTCATGGATGTTTATTAGTTCCCCAAATGAATACTTCTATAATTTCTTACGCGTGTCTGTACTGCAATCTCCAAACATAAATTGTGAAGATTTCATGGACATTTATCAGTTCCCCAGTCAATACTCTTATAATTTCCTATACCTGTCTTTAATCTCTTAATCCTGTCATCTTCATAAACTGAGGATGTATGTCGCCTCAGGACCCTGTGATGATTGCGTTAACTGCACATATTGTTTGTAAAACGTGTGTTTGAACAATATGAAATCTGGGCATCCTAAAAAAGAACAGGATAACAGCCATTTTCAGGGAACAAGGAAAATAACCATAAGGTCTGACTGCCTGCGGGGCCGGGCAGAACAGAGTCATATTTCTCTTCTTGCAGAAAACAAATAAGAGAAATATTGCTGAATTATTTTCCCAGCAAGGAATAACCCTGGGAAAGGAATATATTCCCCGGGGGAGGTCTATAAATGGCTGCTCTTGGAGTGTCTATCTTATGCGGTTGAAGATAAGGGATGAAATACGCCCTGGTCTCCTGCAGTGCCCTCAGACTTGCTAGGACGAGGAAATTCCCGCCTGGCGAACTGTAGTCAGACCAGTTGTCTGCTCTCAAACCCCATTTCCTGTTAAGATGTTTGTCAAGACGATGCGTGCCCAGTGCGACACAGAACCTCATCGGTAATTCTAATTTCACCCTGGCCTTGTGATCTTGTTCTGCCCTTCTGCCCTTGTGATCTTTTATTGCCCTTCGAAGCATGTGATCTTTGTGACTTACTCCTTGTTTGTACCCCCCTCCCCATTTGAAATCCCTAATAAAAACTCGCTGGTTTTGCGGCTCAAGGGGCATCACGGAATCTACCGATAGGTGATGTCACCCCCGGAGGCCCAGCTGTAAAATTTCTGTCTTTTGTACTCTTTCTCTTTATTTCTCAGACCAGCTAACACTGAGGGAAAATAAAAAAGAACCTACGTTGAAATACTGGGGGCTGGTTCCCCCCAATAGTATGAGCTTTAGCTTGCAAGGCGTCAGGGAAAATGTAGTAGCAATTTCATTCAGTCCACATCAGAAAGATGGAAGAAGATTTTGAAAATGTTAGTGTGGAGATTTGTAGCCAGATAAGAATGGAGGATTCAGCACAAATTGTAGAAAATAATAAAAACTGAAAAAACAATGGACAAGGCTAGAAACTAATACAAAGTGTACCGGGGTAAAAAAAATTATTGTAGGGAAGAGGTCTTGCTATGTCACCCAGGCTGGTATTGAACTTCTGTCCCCCCCAAGCCTATAGTTTTCTTTTGAAACATAATTTTTCTCTCTCCAGTTTCCCATTGTTATCAAGGAGAAATCATAGTAAGACCAATATATTGGCAAAATAAGTTTCAGTCTCGTTACACTTGGCACGATTATTTGCATAAAGTATAGTAAAAATAGTGATTCGCCATATAGGCTCTTTTAAGTTGCTTTTGCTGGAACTTTTTATAAGGTTAGACTATTTATTTAATCTCTCTGTCTTTCTCTCTTTTAGACAGAGTTTTACTCTGTCATCCAGGCTGGAGTGCAGTGGCACGATCTTAGCTCACTGCAACCTCCGCCTCCCAGGCTCAAGCGATCCTCCCACCTCCATCTCCCGAGTAGCTGGACTACAGGCGCCCGCCACCACACCTGGGTATTTTTTGTATTTTTGGTACAGACAGGGTTTTGCCATGTTGCTCAGACTGGTCTGAGCCTTATTTATTTATTTTGCCCGCACCTGGCCTTATTTATTTATTTTCGATGCAGGGTCTCACTCTGTTGCCCAGGCTGGAGTGCAGTGATGTCATCATAGCGCACAATGACCTTGAACTCCTATGCTCAAGTGATCCTCCAACCTCAGTCTCCCAAGTAGCTTTGATGAAAGAAACATATCGCTACGCTGGGCTTTTTTGTTGTCATTGTTGTTGTTGTTTTGAGAGATGGAGTCTCACTATGTTGGCAGTCTGGTTTTGAACTCCTGACCTCAAGCAATCCTCTTTCCTTGATCTCCCAAAATACTGGGATTACAGGCTTGAGCCACCATGACTGGCCAAGGTCAGACTTTGTAAAAGCCTCCTGAACCAAGGCAAAGATTTATCTGTGCCTACAGATACCTGTATGAATTGGATGACTTCTTCTAGAGGTCTCAAAATATTTGAGATTCCTGGGCCTAATCAGAAAGTGACATTCTTTACTTAACAGGTCAGGAGCCTTGCAGGGGAACCATTGAGTCAAGGTACCAGACCAGGGTTTTCAACTGTCTTTTTTTCAACTCTATAAGTTAACCTCAATTCCTCAAAACAGTCCAGTCATATCTAAAATATGCCATTCTAGTCAAAGCTTTGGTAAAATAATCAGTGTCTCCAACTGTTTCCTGTTATAAAAGACAACAGATTCTTACAGACCTTATGCAGACAACTATATTGCCGTAAATTAGGAATACTCACAAATAGTTTTCAAACTTGGAGACATCAGATAAAGAAATATGATTCAAATTTTGCTCACAAGAATATACTTCACTCAATTGTTAAAAGCTATAAATAGCTCAAAAGAAAATAGTTTGTCAAATATCAAAGGTTTAAAAACACTTCATATCACAAAATAGGATCACAGGTCACTGTAAAAAGGTCACTGAGCCAAAATGATAATTCAGATACTTAAAAAAGCAAAAATTATTTACTCTTTAATAGAGAGTCAGTTTCCTAAACAATCATAAAGCCTAGTAAATTCAGGCTGGGCATGGCGGCTCATGCCTGTAATCCCAGCACTTTGGGAGGCTGAGGCCAGTGGATCACCTGAGGTCAGGAGTTCAAGACCAGCCTGGGCAACATGGCAAAACCCCATCTCTACTGAAATTACAAAAATTGGCCAAACATAGTGGTGCATGTCTGTAATCCCAGCTACTCAGGAGGCTGAGGCAGGAGAATCACTTGAACCTGGGAGGTGGAGGTTGCAGTGAGCCAAGATCGTGCCACTGTACTCCAGCCTGGGTGATAGAGCGAGACTCCATCTCAAAAAAAACCCCAAAACCAAAAAACTAATAAATACAGCATGAGGTCACTGAATCTCTCTCCCTCACCTATTTTGTTTTGTTTTTGGAAGTTTACTGAAAAGGTAAACAAACATCTTGGACTATCTCTTATTACACAAAAATTTTGTTCCAAAAAGGAAACCAAATTTTACATTTCCGTTAGTGTTTTATTAATAATAAAGCTAATTGTAATAAAATTTTATAAACAAATCCATCCATTCTTAACCAGTTTGACCACAAGATTTTTATAAACCTTTTATAACCTTTGACAATTTTCCATTTTCTTTTTCAAATTTCTATATACATTTAGTTTTATTATCATTTTTAAATTCCCTCAATGTAAAACTTAACTAGGCAAAATTAGTATCCCTTTAACGAAAACTATAATGGTATGGCTTCTTATAACCTCCTTTACTAAAAAGACATTTTACTTTCCTCATATATTTTGCATATAGAAAAGTTTTTCTTGTATCTAGTAGTTTTATTTATTTATTTATTTTTGAGACAGAGTCTCACTCTGTAGCCCAGGCTGGAGTTTTAATTACATATATTAATTATGATGTGAACTCTTGGAAGTTAAAATAAGTAACGCTTATTTTTAGAGAAAAACCTGGAAGATCAGCAATTTTAATAATGTGCCAGATGCAGAGCCCAGGACAAAGGACAGTGCCTGCAGCTATGCCTCCCCATGGCTGCGGTGGGAGGATTGCTTGAGCCCAGGAAACGAAGATTGCAGTGAGCCAAGATCTCACCACTGAGCTCTCACCTGGGTGACAGAAAAAGACTCTGTTTCAAAAAATAAAATAAAAAAAAAAGCAACAGTTTTATGACCTTAAAACATTTAGGTGATGTAATCTGACCGATAGACCATTAGACTTAGACAAAAATGTCTACGTTAAATTCTGAAGACATTTACTATCCTGTTTTACCAATACTTTAGAAACTATACTTACCAAAGATTACTAGAGTCACCTGAACTAAAACTCATTTAAGTTAACATTTCTATTTTTCTGATAAAATATTTGATTTAAGTGCTTACCTTTTCCTTAAGCCAACTAATTAGAGCTTCATGTATTTTGGTAGTGAAACATGACATACACATGACATGTATAAACACATAGACATACAAACACACAAACAGAAGCAGATCTTATACACTTATAAGATTGTTCATTTGCCATTTTTCAACTAGTTTCTCTCCCTCACTTCAAACTATTAATCTCTTGATTAACTGTTTCATGCCCAAAACAATTGTTAGGGAACTCTAAATTTTCATCTCCAAAAACATGACTTTAGCTGAAACAAGGTAGAAAATTTGTATCTCAAAGGCACAGAACTTAGATCTAAACAAAGTCTCACTCTGTCGCCCAGGCTGGAGTGCAGTGGCACAATCTCGGCTCACTGCAACCTCTGTCTCCTGGGTTCAAGTGATTCTCTTGCCTCAGCCTCCTGAGTAGCTGGGATTACAGGCAAATGCCACCACGCCCGGCTAATTTATTTATCTATTTATTTAGTTTTATTTTTTATTTTCTTTTTTAGCAGAAACAGAGTTTTGCCATGTTGGCCAGGCTGGTCTCAAGCTCCTGATCTCTGCTGATCTGCCCACCTCAGCCTCCCAAAGTGCTGGGATTATAGGCGTGAGCCACCATGCCCAGCCTAAGCAAAGGTAAGGTTTGTTACGTGAACTGTAAGCCGTATCTTCCCCATCCTAAAAGTTCCTCCTGATTTAGAGAGGAGATGCCCTTATAAATGGAGATTACCTTTATAGATGTAAACTTCTTTTACAAAGAGTTTCAAAATAACCAGCTAAATGGTAGAATGTTGCATTTTGGTTTTTAAAGTTAGCCTGTTTCTTAATTAGATGACTAGATAAATTAGATTACCCTGAAGAGTAGGGCCCTTTAATGAAAAGGGGAAAGCAAGCATGGAGTTTTTAAGGCCTAATCTTGAAATATGCATGAAGCAGGCACAGCTGGAAGGCAGAGCACAGATCCTCCAAAATCAAAGATCCCATTTTTACACCAAATCCTGGGTCCCAGAAAGTAGAGAGCCGCGTGGGACTGGCCAGTGCAATGCTCCCACGGTGCATTTCATCTCAGCACGGGAGTGGATGGGGCGATGCTCCCACGGTGTGTTTCATCTGAGCACGGGACTGGACGGTGTGATCATCCCACGGTGCGTTTCATCTCCTCGCGGGACTGAATGATGCGGTGCTCCCACGGTGCATTTCACCTCAGCACGGGACTGGACGGCGCAATGCTCCCACAGTGCATTTCATTTCGTCATGGGACTGGACAGTACAATGACTCCACAGTGCATTTCATCTCAGCCTGGGACTGGATGGTTCAATACCCCCACAGGGCATTTCATCTCAGCACGGGACTACACGGTGCGATGCTCCCACGGTGCATTTCATCTCAGCACAGGACTGGATGACACGATGCTCCAATGGTGCATTTCATTTTGTCTTGGGACTGGACAGTACAATGCCTCTACAGTGCATTTCATCTCAGCCCGGGACTGGACTGTGCGATACCCGCACAATGCTTTTCATTTTGTCATGGGACGGGAAGGTGTGATGCCCCACGGTGCATTTCATTGTAAGGACATTCCCTGGAGGCTGGTGGGCAACCCAGAGCTCTAACTGAACAGTAAAGTAGGTTAGTTGCTGGCCACTTGCAGAGTCCAATTATTTAAAGTGAGGTCTGGCACAAATAAGGTTATTTATTCCAAAGCTAGCTTGGGGAAGTGGCACAGGCATCTGTCTTGCCTTTAGCTGTCCCATTTTGCTTTTGGAACAGAAAGTAGGCACTTCTAAAAGACAGGGGAGGAAGTGAGCAGGGGCAGAAGTGGGTTCATGCTAGCTCCAGTGCCTTATCTATCAGGTGGTCGAGCTAGTGACTGCTGGCACTTTTGTGGTCAGGCCATTATCTCTCCAGGCCACCTCCTGATGAGGGAGTTCCGTAGCAGGCATGCTTTGGTCTGTAAATCAGCTGTTAACTCTCAAGGAGTTAGTGCCAAGGGATCTCGAGGGACTGTCTGGTGAAGGAGGGGAGAAAGGCTAGATTTGCATGTCTAAAGGGCTAAGTAGGAAGTCAGGAACTGGGAAAAGGAGAAAAAAAGAGAGGAAAAAATAATTAAACATCTTTTAGAAAAATGGGGGTACTCGGAAACAAAACCAATCTTTCCAATCTGTGGTCAGCCTCTCGCTCGGTGGGCTGTGCTTTCATAGCCTCTAGGTAATGCAGGCACCCTCAAAACTGGGGCTTAACCTGACAGAGTTCTTGGCTTTGCTCAGAAAATAATTTAAGAGCAGGGCTAACCCACAGGGAGAGGCCAGAGTAGCAGTAAACAGCAGCAGGAGGAGGAGGAGCAGCAGCAGCAGGAGTAGCCACAGCTGCAACAAGGGAGCACTGGCTAGCCACATTTATACCTGGTCTTATTTATATGCTAATCAAGGGGTGGACTATTCTGAATTTTCTAGGAAAGAAGTGGGGGAGTTCTGGAACCATATAGGGTATTGTCATGACATTTATAAGCTGTCATAGTGCTGTAAGGAAGGTCTTTATGCTGATGAGTGGTGAGGGCAACTGGAGGTCACTTTTGTTTCCATCTGCTGGTCTCAGCTGTTTCTTTTTTTTTTTTTTTTTTTGAAATAGGGTCTTGCTCCATTGCCCAGGCTGGAGTACAGTGGTACAATAATGGCTTACTGCAGCCTTGACCCCCTGGGCTCAAGCGATCCTCCTGCCTTCGTCTCCCAAGTACCTGGGCCCACAGGCACATGCCACCATGCTAGGCTAATTTGTTCGTTTTTTGTATGTTGCCCAGGGTGGTCTCAAACTCCTGGGCTCAAGTGATCCTCCTGCTGCAGCTTCCCAAAATTCTGGGGTTATAGGCGTGAGCCGCTGTACCCAACTTGCACCCTGCTTTGACCAGCAGGGCCATTACCGGTGCTCAGAAAACAAATCTGGCTGATTTCCCACCTCACTGGTGCCCCAGACCATGCTTTTGGTCACCCCCTGTAGTAATAACCATTTTCTGTAAGCAACTGCCATCAGCCACCTCTAAAACTGTATCTCTTGCCTAGCCATTACGCCAACCATGGTCAAGTTTTCTCACAATACTGGGTAATTTTTGGTATCCCCGAAAAGCCAAAGAGATCAGGTAATACCACGCAAAAGAGGGCAGAGCTTTAGGCCCCAGAAGACTCTGCATGTGACGCTCGAAACTCCACAAGGAAAGCAGAAGGCCTCCAACAAACGGTGAGCGGCATCTTTTTTTTTCCTGAGTTCCTTCAGGGCTTTGGGTCATTAGAAATCTCTGAATCTCTTTACGTGGTACTGAATATGGCAGCGGAGGCAGGAGTGGGGCGGAGTAAAAGTATATGGGAGAACAATTTTTTTAAAATGAAGTGAACAGAGGTGTCAGAGGCGTTCGAACCAGAGTGACTCCATCTTGAACAGAGTCTGGGTAAAATAAGGCTGAGGCCCACTGGCTGCGTTCCCAGGAGGTTAGGCATTCTTAGTCACAGGATGAGATAGGAGGTTGGTACCAAATATAGGTCACAAAGACCTTACTGATAGAACAGGATGTGATAAAGAAGCCAACCAAAACCCACCAAAACCAGGAGGGTGATGGAAGTGACCTCTGGCTGTCCTCACTGCTCATTATATGCTGATTATAATGTGTTAACATGCAAAATGACACTCCCACCAGCGCCATGACGGTTCACAAATGCCATGGCAATGTCAGGAAGTTACCCTGTGTGGTCTAAAAAGAGAAGGAATGCTCACGCCTGTAATCCCAGCACTTTGGGAGGCCAAGGTGGGTGGATCACCTGAGGTCAAGAGTTTGAGACCAGCCTGGCCAACATGGTGAAACCCGTCTCTACTAAAAATACAAAAATTAGCCGGGCATGGTGGCAGGTGCCTATAATTCCAGCTACTCTGGAGCCTGAGGCAGGAGAATTTCTTGAGCCTGGGAGGTGGAGGTTGCAGTGAGCCGGGATTGTGCCACTGCATGCCAGCCTGGCCGACAGAGCGAGACTCTGTCTCAAAAAAAAAAAAAAAAAAAAAGAGGGAAGGAATTGGCCGGGCACAGTGGCTCACGCCTGTAATCCCAGCACTTTGGGAGGCCGAGGTGGGTGAATCACTTGAGGTCAGGAGTTCGAGACCAGCCTGGCCAACATGGTGAAACCACGTCTCTACCAAAAATATAAAAATTAGCCAAGCATGGTGGTGCATGCCTTTAATCCCAGCTGCTCTGGAGGCTGAGGCACGAGAATTGCTTCAACCCAGGAGGCAGAGGTTGCAGTGAGCTGAGATTGCGCCACTACACTCCAGCCTGGTTGACAGAGCGAGACGCTGTCTCTCCCTCCCCCAACCAAAATCCTTTCAAATCTCTTGTTAGCATATTTTAGCTGGGCCAAACAGCTGATAAGTCTTTTTGTATAAGACCCAGAATCCTCCCAAAGACAGCTCAAAGAAAGTGAAGTTTCACTAGCCACAAATGGAGTCTAACTCACATTTCTGTTCAGCCGTATTCTCTAGGGTCTCAGCTTCTCAGCTGACCACCTGCACACAAGGGCCCAAAAGCCCTGTGTCCCAAAGACAGAAGAAGGCAGGAAATCAAAAGCTGTTCATGGAAGAGATTAGGATCAACAAATGGAAATCAGTAGGGACTGATTCCCTGATCAGGAAGCAAACGCAAACCGCAGTGAGAATTTTAAATACCAGACTCCAAAATGGAGTAGCTTCCATTGTTAATCACACATGGAATCCAAAGTGTGCAGTTTGGTTGTTTTGTTTGTTTGTTTTTGTTGTTGTTTTAATTTTTTAAGAGATAGGGTCTCACTGAGTAGCCTGGGCTGGAGTGCAGTAGTGCAATCAGAGCTCACTGCAGCCTCAACCTCATGGGATCAAGCGAAACGCCTCATCTTGTCTTTAACCTCAAAACTGCCCATTGTCATTCCTGGATTTGTGCCAAGCTAACTTTGGGACACATTTAGTTTATAGTTTAAATGATAATAGCCCTTCTCCAAAACTGAACTGCCGTCATAAGGCTAATTTAAAGACTACCAAGTTAGGAGGATGAGAGGAGCCTGAGTTCTGCTGATGTGTACACATAAACCTAAGATTGGCCTTCTGAGATATCTTTTCAGGATTTTGCTTTTTTTTTTTTTTTTGAGGTGGAGTTTTGCTCTTGTTGCCCAGGGCAGAGTGCAGTGGCCAGACCTCAGCTCGCTGCAACCTCCACCTCCCAGGTTCAAGTGATTCTCCTGCCTCAGTCTCCAGAGTAGCTGGGATAACAGGTGCGTGCCACCACACCCGGCTAATTTTTTTTTTTTTTTTTTTTGTATTTTTAGTAGAGACGGGGTTTCACTGTGTTGGCCAAGATGTTCTTGATCTCCCGACCTTGTGATCTGCCCGCCTTGGCCTCCCAAAGTGTTGGGATTACAGGTGTGAGCTACTGCGCCCAACCAGGGTTTTGCATTTCTGACAGCTGATGGCTCCACCTGAACCTGTCAGTGTGTCCTGTGGCCTCACCCAGAACAAGACTGTCACCTCTGTCATTGCATCTGCAACCAACCAGCAGCACTCATTCCCAGGCCCCTCAAACTATCCTTGAAAAATCTCCTAGCCTCTGAATTCTGGGGAGGCTGGTTTGAGTAATAATAAAACTCCAGTCTCCTGTTCAGCCAGCTCTGCATGAATTAAACTCTTTCTCTATTGCAATTCCCCTGTCTTGATAAATTGGCCCTTTCTGGGAAGTGGGATAAATGAACCCACTGCATGGTTACAATAGCAGCACTCACAGGAGCCTGATGGCCATGAACAGACAAATGAATCAACAAAGCATGGCATTCACACAGTGGGATATGATATGGCCACATCCGGGATGAGGCACTGACACAGGCTATGACACGGAGGAGCCTCAAAACCTCATACAGAGGGAAAGACACCAATGCAAGAGGCCACATATTGCACAACTCCACGTATATGAAATGTGCAGAACAGGCAAATCCAGAGATGGAAAGCAGATTGGTGGTTGCCTTGGACTAGGAGCTGCTTAATGGGTGTGTAGTTTCTTTTTGGGTGGTAAAAATGTTTTGAAACTAGATATAGTGGTCACACAACATTGTATATTTGCTAAGTGCCACTGAATTGTGTTTGTTTGTTTGTTTGTCTGACAGAGTCTCACTCTGTGACCCAGGCTGGAGTACAGTAGCATGATCTTGGCTCGCTGCAACTTCCGTGTCCCAGGTTCAAGCAATTCTCCTGCCTCAGCCTTCCCAGTAGTTGGGATTACAGGTAGGCACCACTACCCCAGGCTAATTTTTGTTTTGTTTTGGTTTTTTGTTTTTTGTTTTTTTTGAGACGGAGTCTCGCTCTGTCTCCCAGGCTGGAGTGCAGTGGCGCGATCTCAGCTCACTGCAAGCTCCACCTCCTGGGTTTACGCCATTCTCCTGCCTCAGCCTCCCGAGTAGCTGGGACTACAGGCGCCTGCCACCTCGCCCGGCTAGTTTTTTGTATTTTTTAGTAGAGATGGAGTTTCACCGTGTTAGCCAGGATGGTCTTGATCTGCTGACCTCATGATCCACCTGCCTCAGCCTCCCAAAGTGCTGGGATTACAGGCTTGAGCCACCGCGCCCGGCCGATTTTTTTGTATTTTTATTAGAGATGGGGTTTTGCCTTGTTGCCCAGGTTGGTCTTGAGCTCCTGAGTTCAGGCAATCCTCCCAGCTCGGCCTCCCAAAGTTCTAAGATAACAGGTGTGAGCCAATGTGCCTGGCCTGAATTGTTTATTTTATTTATTTATTTATTTATTTATTTATCTATTTATCTTTTTAAGATGGAGTCTCACTCTTGTTACCTGGAGTGAGGCTGGAGTACGATGGTGAGATCTCGGTTCACTGCAACCTCTGCTCCAGGGTTCACGTGATTCTCCTGTCTCAGCATCCTGAGTAGCTGGGATTACAGGCACACACCACCAAGTCCAGCTAATTTTTGTGTTTTATTCTTTATTTTTTTTTTTTTGAGACAAAGTCTAGCTCTCTCGCCCAGGCTGGAGTGCAGTGATGCAATCTTGACTCACTGCAAGCTCCGCCTCCTTGGTTCACACCATTTTCCTGCCTCAGCCTCCT